CCATTTTCCTTTTGTTGCTTCTTTTCAAAACCTGCAATTTCAACTTTGGATGGTAAGACCTTGGATTCCTATGTTTTTAATGCCATTTTCCTTTTAAAGCTTGCTTTCAAACAGCTCCAAGAATGAACTTTGGATGGGTAGATGTGGAGGAAGGGGCAGGGAGCACCACAATACATGCTTAATCCCAAACATCCTTAAAATATTCAGTCTTTTCATGGTTCTAGAGGATATTCTATCTATAGTTTTGCCCAACTGTCCTAGCACAGCACTAGCACAAATGAACTTTGGATGGTCGATCTTGGATTCCTACTTTTCTGTACTTTTCTCATCTCCTTTTCCTTTCACGGCTTTCTATTCAAAAACCTGCAAGACTGAACATTGAATGGTAAGATCGTGGATTTCTTCTTTTCTCATCCCATTTTCCTTTTGTTGCTTCTTTTCAAAAACCTGCAATTTCAACTTTGGATGGTAAGATCCTGGATTCCTACTTTTTTAATGCCATTTTCCTTTTAAAGCTTGCTTTCAAACAGCTCCAAGAATGAACTTTGGATGGGTAGATGTGGAGGAAGGGGCAGGGGAGACCTCCAAATCCTTTAAATACCTTCCAAGCATCCTTTAAAAATTCAGTCTTTTCATGGTTCTAGAGGATATTCTATCTATAGTTTTGCCCAACTGTCCTAGCACAGCACTAGCAAAAATGAACTTTGGATGGTCGATCTTGGATTCCTACTTTTCTATACTTTTCTCATCTCCTTTTCCTTTCGCAGCTTTCTTTTCAAAAACCTGCAAGACTGAACTTTGAATGGTAAGATCGTGGATTCCTTCTTTTCTCATCCCATTTTCCTTTTGTTGCTTCTTTTCAAAAACCTGCAATTTCAACTTTGGATGGTAAGATCTTGGATTCCTACTTTTTAGATGCCATTTTCCTTTAAAGTTTGCTTTCAAACAGCTCCAAGAATGAACTTTGGATGGGTAGATGTGGAGGAAGGGGCAGGGAGCACCACAAATACATGCTTAATCTTAATCCCAAACATCCTTAAACAATTCAGTCTTTTCATGGTTCTAGAGGATATTCTATCTATAGTTTTGCCCAACTGTCCTAGCACAGTACTAGCACAAATGAACTTTGGATGGTCGATCTTGGATTCCTACTTTCTATATTTTTCTCATCTCCTTTTCCTTTCACAGCTTTCTATTCAAAAACCTGCAAGACTGAACTTTGAATGGTAAGATCGTGGATTCCTTCTTTTCTCATCCCATTTTCTTTTTGTTGTTTCTTTTCAAAAACCTGCAATTTCAACTTTGGATGGTAAGATCTTGGATTCCTACTTTTTAGATGCCATTTTCCTTTTAAAGCTTGCTTTCAAACAGCTCCAAGAATGAACTTTGGATGGGTAGATGTGGAGGAAGGGGCAGGGAGCACCACAAATACATGCTTAATCCCAAACATCCTTTAAAAATTCAGTCTTTTCATGGTTCTAGAGGATATTCTATCTATAGTTTTGCCCAACTGTCCTAGCACAGTACTAGCACAAATGAACTTTGGATGGTCGATCTTGGATTCCTACTTTTCTGTACTTTTCTCATCTCCTTTTCCTTTCACAGCTTTCTATTCAAAAACCTGCAAGACTGAACTTTGAATGGTAAGATCGTGGATTTCTTCTTTTCTCATCCCATTTTCCTTTTGTTGCTTCTTTTCAAAAACCTGCAATTTCAACTTTGGATGGTAAGATCTTGGATTCCTACTTTTTTAATGCCATTTTCCTTTTAAAGCTTGCTTTCAAACAGCTCCAAGAATGAACTTTGGATGGGTAGATGTGGAGGAAGGGGCAGGGAACACCACAAATACATGCTCAACTCCAAGCATCCTTTAAAAATTCAGTATTTTCATGGTTCTAGAGGATATTCTATCTATAGTTTTGCCCAACTGTCCTAGCACAGCACTAGCACAAATGAACTTTGGATGGTCGATCTTGGATTCCTACTTTTCTATACTTTTCTATACTTTTCTCATCCCCTTTTCCTTTCACAGCTTTCTATTCAAAAACCTGCAAGACTGAACTTTAAATGGTAAGATCGTGGATTCCTTCTTTTCTCATCCCATTTTCCTTTTGTGGTTTCTTTTCAAAAACCTGCAATTTCAACTTTGGATGGTGAGATCTTGGATTCCTACTTTTTTAATGCCATTTTCCTTTTAAAGCTTGCTTTCAAACAGCTCCAAGAATGAACTTTGGATGGGTAGATGTGGAGGAAGGGGCAGGGAGCACCACAAATACATGCTTAATCCCAAACATCCTTTAAAAATTCAGTCTTTTCATGGTTCTAGAGGATATTCTATCTATAGTTTTGCCCAACTGTCCTAGCACAGTACTAGCACAAATGAACTTTGGATGGTCGATCTTGGATTCCTACTTTTCTGTACTTTTCTCATCTCCTTTTCCTTTCACGGCTTTCTATTCAAAAACCTGCAAGACTGAACTTTGAATGGTAAGATCGTGGATTTCTTCTTTTCTCATCCCATTTTCCTTTTGTTGCTTCTTTTCAAAAACCTGCAATTTCAACTTTGGATGGTAAGATCTTGGATTCCTACTTTTTTAATGCCATTTTCCTTTTAAAGCTTGCTTTCAAACAGCTCCAAGAATGAACTTTGGATGGGTAGATGTGGAGGAAGGGGCAGGGAACACCACAAATACATGCTCAACTCCAAGCATCCTTTAAAAAATCAGTTTTTCATGGTTCTAGAGGATATTCTATCTATAGTTTTGCCCAACTGTCCTAGCACAGCACTAGCACAAATGAACTTTGGATGGTCGATCTTGGATTCCTACTTTTCTGTACTTTTCTCATCTCCTTTTCCTTTCGCAGCTTTCTTTTCAAAAACCTGCAAGATTGAACTTTGAATGGTAAGATCGTGGATTATTTCTTTTCTCATCCCATTTTCCTTTTGTGGTTTCTTTTCAAAACCTGCAATTTCAACTTTGGATGGTGAGATCTCGGATTCCTTTTTTTTTTAATGCCATTTTCCTTTTAAAGCTTGCTTTCAAACAGCTCCAAGAATGAACTTTGGATGGGTAGATGTGGAGGAAGGGGCAGGGAGCACCACAAATACATGCTTAATTCCAAGCATCCTTTAAAAATTCAGTCTTTTCATGGATCTAGAGGATATTCTATCTAGAGTTTGACTATCCAACCATACATATTATATTTACATATTTTATATCATTCACATATAAAGCATATGTTTCAATCATAGTAAACACCATACATATTATATCTACATATTTGATATCATTCACATACAAAGCATATATTTCACACAGAGTGCACCTTACACACTATAGTAGCACACTCGGTCGCTTTCCGGGGCGTCCCCCACATAGGGGGGTGATGACGGGATTCTGGAATCCCGTCACGTTTTTTGGCTATGCTCCCTTTACGGGGGAGCCGAGTTGTCAGCCCCTGGCAAGATCTATAGTTAGAATATCCCTGAAAAGGTCCCGGTTGGAAAAACAATCACATGTTGTCAAAGACAATTTTCTTAATTGGATTATACCCAGTGGTATTTAACAACATGTGCTATATCAATATATTATCCAAAGTGGTATTATAATTTATGGATTCTGAAAATACCTTTTGGGCTGTATTCAAAACCACTGTTGGTTCATGATCTTATATAGAGTTTGACTATCCAACAGTTTATATCTACGTTCGAATTCAAAATCTCCAGGAGGTCCGGTGAGCACACCAACTCAATTACAAAATTGCACATCTTCAATTATCAATTATCAATTTTGTAGGGGTGATCATTTTACCCACACCCATTCCTTTATTTTTTTTTCCTTTATTGGGTTTGACTATTTGGGCATCCCGGGAACCAAAAATACCATTGCCAAAGAATCTACAACACATGGAATGGTTTTTGGAAACCTGCCGTTGTTAGCAGAATGCAGTAGGGAGGGGTCAGCACAGTGGTTGATACCATAGATAGAATATGAAAGAATATAGAAGAATATGGGGATGGATCAAAACCTTCTGTCCCAATTACACCCAATTCTATACAGATTACTTTTTAAAGTAGCTGGTTTTGATCGATGTCCAAATTCAAAATCTCCAGGAGGTCCGGTGAGCACACCAACTCAATTACAAAATTTCACATCTTAAATAATCAACTATCAATTTTGTAGGGATGATATTTGGACTCACACCCATTCCTTTATTGGGTTTGACTATTTGTGCATCCCGGGAACCAAAAATACCATTGCCAAAGAATCTACAACACATGGAATGGTTTTTGGAAACCTGCCGTTGTTAGCAGAATGCAGTAGGGAGGGGTCAGCACAGTGGTTGATACCATAGATAGAATATGAAGGAATATAGAAGAATATGGGGATGGATCAAAACCTTCTGTCCCAATTACACCCAATTCTATACAGATTACTTTTTAAAGTATCCGATTTTGATCGATGTCCAAATTCAAAATCTCCAGGAGGTCCGGTGAGCACACTGTAGCTAAATGGGTACGGGTCAAATTTGGCCCCAGCTCAATTTCAAAATTTCACATCTTAAAAAATCAACTATTAATTTTGGGGTGTGATAATTTGACCCACACCCATTCCTTTCTTGGATTTGACTATTGAATACCACTGCCAAAGGATCTATATTTCTGGGAACCACCAGCAACAGTGACAATTTCTTTGGAAGATTTTGGGCTGAAATTCGCATGCCAGAACCTAATACACCAGCATAATGACAACATTTGGTAGTCATTCCAAAGGCCCAAACAACCAAATCACAAGCTAAATGACCGCTTTTGTGATCATTTTTGAGGGACCTTTTTTTTACCAATCATCGACCCGGATTTTTGAGCCATTTTGGGATTCTATCTATAGGTTTTTTTCAGACCGTTTTTTTTTTTGAAATTCCAGAGATTCTATCTACTTCAGGATGGTTATATATATAAATACACACCCTATCCATTATTCTCGGCCCTATCCAGTCTCCTGTGGTGCCTCAGTCGACGCTTCCCCATTGCCTTCTGCAGGTGCTGTAGCATCAGCTGGAGCGTCCATCACCATGGGTTTTGGTTCTTCCTCCTCGAAGCAACATCTCGACAGAGTTCAAAAGTAAACAGTTAGGTACAGTTAGATATATACAGTTTACAGTGTTTACAGCTATTGATTGCAGTTTGATTACGGTTGGATCATTTCAGATTTTTGTTGATATCGTCTGCCCAAAAGAGCAGAAAAAATGGATCAAAGAAGGGTGGACAGTCAAAAAGCAGCAGGATGAGCCTCACGCACACTCACACAACACAACGCCGTACTGTTATCATTGTTTGGGTCCTGCTCTTTCTTGACCCCCTCTACCTGACATTGCATGTGATAGGAGTGAGTTTTCTGATCAGTTGTTTTGATCTTAGTACAGGTAGAGACCGCAAACCTACTACATGGCATCATAAAAATAATCATTCGAACAAATCAGCAAGCCGAATCGCTTCGCATCATACATTCAATCTCTGCTGAGCTCGCCTTCCACATTGCTTGAAGATTTTTCCATGTCTGCAATTGCTCCTGAAAGGTCTTCAAAAAATAAGAACAGAACTTGCAACAGAGGTTCGTTTGTTTTTCTGTTATTTTTCCGCGCGTTGACCCGGCAATTGTATCTCTTCCGAATCTTTGTAGAATGGGTAGAAGGACGTAGAAGGCACAGGCATGCAACCGAAACCGAAAGAAAGGTCTTGCAACCGTCCTTCCAGGAGTTGCTTTGTTGATTAAACCTCGGCATTGCTGAGCAGCAGGCCCTTTTGGCAGGGTTCGAGGGTTTGCCAAAATGAAACCTCCCTCGTGTCCAAAAAAAATTGTCTCTCTTCCCTTGTTTAATTAGGCAAACAATATGCAGGAAAGGCAATGTCAGTGTAGCAACGGACTCATCGCTTTTCTGTCCGGTTGCGCGCTCCTGTCAGCTTTGGTTTGAATGCCTTGCTCTTTCAAAGTGACACGTGTTCTCTCCACGTGCCACATGCAAAATTTCAATGGGCCCAAATCCAATGACTTACAAACTTCAATTTGCCCTGTTGCAAAGGATTCAAATCTCTTGCTGCCATTCCCCGGAGGAGATTGGGGACGGATGGCGGGAAAACTAAACATCTTGTGCACAGACTGTCTCACACAGTGGTCAATCAAGACGCTCACATGCTCGGCGCATGTCACGCCTCTCTCTTCCCTTGTTCAATTAGGCAAACAATATGCAGGAAAGGCAATGTCAATGTAGCAACGGACTCATAGCTTTTCTGTCGGGTTGCGCGCTCCTGTCAGCTTTGGTTTGAACGCCTTGCTCTTTCAAAGTGACACGTGTTCTCTTCACGTGCCACAAGCAAAATGTCAATGGACAGGCAAGGCAAACTGTCTTGGACAAAAGACTGGAGAAATGCTGAATTTAATTTCAGGCCTCAATTGCCTTCTTTGCTAAGTGCGGTGCTCGAGATTGCCTGAGATTTCTCTAGCTATATTGTACAAATAGAGACGAATACTGTAACCTGTCGAGGGAAGGGACATGAGACATTATGAGGCCCATTTAATAATTGCGCCGCTTTTTACGTGCACATTCAGAGACAGGTGTGCCACAATGCAGGAGCACTTTCTCCCCAAGCCTTCCCGCCAGAGACTGCATGCGGGCTGTGAGACCCTGGGGATCCCCACCACTCCCCAACTTTGAGGTCTTCGAGTTTGGTCGTGATCTTCTTTTTTAGTTTCCACTCCTTTCAATTGGTCAAGACTTCGCTCAACAGCAGCATTTGCAAGTGGCTCCGCTGTTGCATTCATGTGTCAAAAATTACTTGCCGGATGTGCTACACTGTCTCAACCAGAGTCTGTTGCTTCACTACTTTTGTTGTCTGTATTCCTCTGGATTGCAATCCACTAACCTCAGAGTCCCTCAAAAGCGCTGCTCCTTGAAATAGCTTTCTGCCTTCGCCTTCGCGTTCCAACTGAAAGTGACCTTACCGTCACAGCCCCTGCAGTTCAACAAAGAGTAGTTGCTACTAAAAAAGCCTGTCAATGCTACCGTTTCTGCTTGAACAAGCTATGCTGCCATGTACAGTCACAAGCCACCACGCATGGTCTGAGTCTTCGCAACACTTTCCAGGGTTTGATAAAGGGTCAAACTTTGGCACGTCCCGCCAGGAAACGCAGCGAGTTTAGCTGTGTCTGGGTGTCCGAGCAGATTCAAAGCCCTCACTCTTGTCCGGCAATGTGAAGTCATTCAGAGAACTACTCAAAGTCGAGTCGCTCCTCATTCAAAGCAAGACTCGGTAAATATTAGTGCAGACTCGCTTCATTCCCCTCCCAGGCAGCAATGCAAAAGCACAGACTATTGTGCATTGTCGATCGTTCTCAAAACAATGAAAGCTTTTGAGGACTAGAATTGCAGTTGTTCTTCCCTGATCGTTGGAGTCTTCTGAGTCTGCGAAGTGAGATCCTGGAATTGACATTGGGATTTTCGACATGTTGCAAGCACTACTGGTTTTTTTCTGGTTCTTGAAACTGAAACCCACTACTCACTACACTGAGGCATAGGCAAATCTGGATGCTCCTGCCGCAATCAGAAATGTGTCTTGTATTTCGACATTGCATTTCAGTATTGAAAGCAAGAAAGCAAGACCATGCTGCATGCTCAAAGCTGCTCGTATGTCACAGCCAGTGCCAAACATATGCATCTGGTTATTGGCTTTGCAGGACTCATACCTCTGTGGCCCCTCGTCTCAGAACAATCCGGAGCATAACACTTTATCTTATCTGCATCTGCAGTTTTCTGCAGTTTTCTGCAGTTTTCTGCAATCTATAGAAATGGTGTGAGGGGTGAATCAACCATTTCATCCGTTTTGCTTGGCAAATTTGGCAACTGTTCCGATCAATAAAACGGATTGGATCATTGGATTACAAGGAGCACAAATGTGGACTCAAAGCAATCGAGGAAAGGCAGAAATATTTCTACTGCAAATTTGCCCTTCTCTAGAAATATGGTAGAAAGGCACTTCCTTGAGCTTGCAATATGATCGAAGGGCCTTGGGTGACTGACCACCTCTAAGCATATATCACTTCTTCTTTGCATTTAAATGGTTCTGGACTCGACAATGCGATTGCAGCTCTAGCATGCGCTTGTGTATAGGTTGCTTTGGGTGGCATCAAATTGCGATTAATTACAGTATGCTCCCTTACATATAGTATTCATTACATCACATGATAGTGCGTATGCGGTGTATGCGTATAATATACTCGGGAGACTTGGCAGTATATGCACAATTGACCAAGCGATTATTATGCAGCTAAACATAATTGCACGAGAATTGTATACTGTATTCCACACTGTCTCAACAGAATTCGCTGTCACCCACCCGCTGGGCGACCCTTTAGCAGGGCTCCGTTGGGCGGAAGGTCATCTTGATTTCTTCCTCGTTCAACTGGACCACTGGAGGTTTCTCCTGAGAGGGTCGTTCCATAACAAAATTAACAAAATAGCTCGGGGACTTGGGAGAGCTTTAATGGAGAGCTTTCTGTGCAATGAATGCAGAGTTGGAAGCACGGACAAAGCAAGTCGGGTGAAAATTCCAATTCATACATCATCATAGGACTCATACTGTAGTATGTTGCTTTTTTATGCTTTTCTCACATTTGATGCAATGATTTTGGGACAAGAAATGTTTCATCGGTTCGGTCCAGTGCAGGATCCGGCATTGGCTGATCTGGCTCTTCTTCTTCCTCCAAGACAGACTCCAATAAACAAAGGCTTTCAGGGCAGTGAGAGCTTACTCTAAATGCTTGGAATGTTTGGTGCTCTCAGGAAATCGGTGGTCTTGACTGTTCAGGATGCTTGCAACTTCAAACTTTCATGAAAGCTCCTATATGAGCAATCAAAGGGTTCGTTGTACTGCACACAAATCAACAATCACGTTTCAAATGTTCAAAGCGACGGTGAGACGATTCTCAGCGGCTTCTTATGACAGCATAAAAGTGAATGATATGCCATAGTTCCAACACGGCGCTAGTTTCAGTTTGCTAGGACAAGCTTCCGATACTTCTCAAGCGGGGCGTTGGCTTTGGTGCCAGTGATGTTTGCTAAATCTACATATTCGCTACAGAATCTGAAAACAATCTTCCTCTGCAGGCTTCATCTCTTGATCCGGAGCTTCCTTGCAGCCCGAAGCTTCAGATTGGGACATCTGAACAAATTGTGCAAAAAACTTGTTGTCAAAAGAAGTCCATGGCACACACTTGACAAGGATTATTTGGATCCTCACCTAAGCCCCTATATCATAATTTTTCACTATCAGGCAGCAGAACAAACATGTCCTGTTCTGTAATAACCTGTAGAGTATATAATCACAGGGTCTATCTTCCAAAAGAGTGAGGGGTAGCAACACGTATTTATGTAAATAATCAAGGATGGGTGGTATGGGAAAAGCTCTCTATAAGTAATTAATTATAAACATATAATATATAATAAATAATATATAATATATAATATATAATATATAATATATAATATATAATATATAATATATAATATATGATATATAATATATAATATATAATATATACATATATACATATATGGATATATGGATAGATAGACAGCAATCGTAAAATGCAAAGGCAAGCCTGCAGGCATGAAAGCATGAAGGCATGAGGGCATGAAGTCAGCGGAAGAAATACATTGTGCAACTCCTCCCCCGCAGCAGCTCGCCGCTCTTCTTCAGCCTGGTAGAGCAAAGTAAAGAAAGCCAAAGGATGCCAAAGGCAGGATGCCAAAGGCAGGATGCCAAAGGCAGGTTACGACGCTGATGCCCTGATACGCTGTTTCGCTGGTACGCTGATACGCTGGTGCGCTGGTAATCTAGTACTTATTGGCGCAACCTGTGTCAATCCAACCGTTGTGTTCCACATTCGAACGGTGTTCAAATGATCAAATGTGGAACACATATTTTTTCGCACATGTCCTCTAAGAGATCCAAGAAAGGCATTCCGTGAGAGACGCCAGATTGGAACCACAAACAGTGAGGAAGAATGAGACATTGCTGAACCAAAGTCTTGCAGAAAGACCAGAGTCACTTCCAGCAAAGCAGGTTGTCTGGCAGGCGAGGACCACGACCTACGAATAAAAACTTCACACACTGGCCATCACTGGCCTTCTTCTCTGCCTCTCGCTTGGCCTTACAAGGAGACTTCAAAACCAGCAAACACGTCCGCAAAACTTAGGCGTTTAAAGTGCAATCGAAAAAAATACAGACAACTCACGGAGTTTGAGAGTTTGACACAGGAAATTGACAATGCTTCCTCAAAAACATAGAAATGACCTGTTTCAGTAGCTCCTGTCTTCAAAGAGTGTTTGCTCTTCACGGAAGAGCCAGGAAACTGTTGTTCGTGCCAATTTTGCGGCAATATTCAAGCAGTTTGAGGTTTGGATCCAGCCTTCTTGGCAGCCCTCTCAAGTTCCTGGGCAAATCCAACATGTGCAATTCCTACCTCTGAAACTCTCCACTTTACACCAATTGAAAGCATCAAGATCTCCACGCCCTTGCAGAAAAGCACTTGCGCTCCGTAGTGTTCTCACCCCTGCCCATCATCAAATCTTGACGGCACCTTCTCCTTCAACTGAGCTTGATATTTTCGGACTTCTTCTGCCTGGCGGAGAGTCAGACGCTTTTATGGCAAGGAATTGACACGGAAAAACATGGCAACCTTTTCATCCCATGAATTTATGGATTCTTTGTTTTTTTCGCAAGTTTTTCCGTACATATTCTTCAAACATATTCAAACTGGATGTTCATCCATGTTCAAGGAGGACTCAGAGGAACCTTTAGGACCTCATCATGACATTTACGATGACATCGTAAGCAGCATTCGCTGTCATTCAAACAGCTGCCCTGCTTTATGCCGTGCACCTACCATCTAGTCAAACCTTACGGAAACTTTCTGCCACTAAGAAGTACCTACCTACCTTCAGGATTGTTTTCGGATTCAAATGCCTTGCTTGAGGATTCAAACTCCGTCCCTCTGTCCAACATTGTCCAACTCAAACTGTGAGAACAGCGCAGGGTGAAGTCAAGGTCAGGGATAGACGACTAGATGTGCCCTCTAAAACAAGCCTCCAACACCCACAAAATACAGTCGATACCTTGGACATTCTTAGACTTTAAACAGTACCTTACATCCGTCCCAGTAGTCACTCATGGAGAGGGGTTTATGATTTCATAACTGATTGTTCACTCCCTTGCATATGTGGAAACCCTTTCTGAGTAAGGGGGAATAAAAAGGCAGGGTCTCATTCTGATTATGTGAAACCCAAAAGACCATGCCTGCTTTTGCTTGAACTCTGTATCGGACTGCAGTCAGGTATGAGCTCACAGTAACTCAAAACAAGCTCAAAGAGCGTGTGCTTCTTTGTTTACTTGCTTTTGTTTGTGTGTGTGTGTGTGGGGGCAACCCCTGTTCCGAAGGGCTTTCATCACATGTCCAATTTTTAGTTACAGTTCCCAATTTACAAGCAGGGGCACACGGCATCCTTGACCCACCGTGTGCAACGAAGCTACGGTCTTGGATGGGATATCAGGGCTGATCACCCTGACGTACCTGCAGTTGGTCACGATGTTCTTTCATTATCCAAGTTTTTTGATGACTTTCCGGTTATTATTTTTTATCATATGCATGAATAATTCGAGAAATCGGAGTCCGTTACGCATTTTTCCGTATTTACCCATTTCTGCGACTTTTGTCCAATGTGGACAAAGACGGCCTTCCTGAACTAAGCATGTAAACAGCAGAATCAGTTCAGGTGTCCTGTTGGGAATGAAAAGACTCATAGACGAGATACGGTCTTTCAAGTGTGTATTCGGCAGAGATTCCGTCATGGTCCTGTCGTGATCCGGTAACTGCCGGCGTGTGAACAGTATCCCTCTGATTTGGCTTCGGCCCTCAACTTTTTCACCACCAAAAAATGGGGGTATGTCTGGTCCTTGTCCAGAGAAAAACAACAAGGCAATACCACTGGGTCGTTTTGACCATGAATCGTAGCCATCGGTATTTCTTTGAACCGTATCCGATATGATTTGGGACTAATTTTCCCTTCCGTCCCCTCGAGATGAGTAATTCGTGTTACGGAGTTCCACTTTCCAACGGAGATCGAAGATCTCCATGGAAATTGTCGTGCATGTTTTCTCAGGCGTTGAAGAATCTCTGAAAAATCTCTGAAAATCTCTGATTGCACTTTGTGCCTCTGAATTACTCTGATTCACTCTGATTCACTCTGAACATTCGGGGTTATTCCTGAACAAAGGCTTTCGGGCCCTCCTCTGAAACAACTATGAGTCGCCAAAAGAACAAAGCAGAAGAAACAGCAATAGAGCATTTAGACTTACTCGTAGGACGGATCAGTGAGAGTTTCGATGCAGTGTTTTCACGGTACTTCAGCTTTCAGTTTCTGTACAGACATCCTGGCTCAACCGACATGTTTTTCACGTTCATTCATGAAGCCAATCACTGAAAACGTATCACACGTTGATACTTGTACAGTTGACCTTTTCTAATTGTATGTTGTCATGGTGTTCCATTTTCCATTTTCCATTTTCGACACGTAGAGTTGCATCCATGTCATACAATGTGTATTTCATTGCAGGGGACTACAGCCGTCAGGCGGCTAAAGCACCACCGCCTCGAGCACCGGCTGCCGTGGTTTCGACGTTGAGACCCAAGAGTGAGGTCCGACCTGCGCTGCCAATTACTGATGGTACTGCAAGCTTCGACCCCCCTAGAAGACCACCGGGGCCAATGTCTGTAGCCCTTGAAGATGTACAGAAAATCGGTAGACCACCAGCTGCACCGAGCAGTTTGGCACCTTTACAACGTCCACCACTGAGATCCAGATCTTCTCGATCCCGTAGACCTCGTCAAACGAGATCTAGATCCGATAGCCGTGCACGATCTCGGTCCCCAGGACCTAGTGTCAGTGAAGTTCGATCAGAGGCTCGCTCTTTACAGCAAGCCCATCATACATACCCACCAGGGAATTGGGAAACTTCACTTGGAGTATTTGATATTTACGGTCACAGCGGCCAATTTCAAGAAAGACCTCCGCCGCCGCCACCACCACCCCGTCCGGTGGTGCCACAGACCGTTCGTAGTGCTCCGAATGCATCTTTGAGTGCGCCTTTAGGTAGTGCTCCTTTTAATGCGTTTTCGATTCCGAGCACGCCGTCAGGCCATGTCCCGCTAAATGATCATGAGCATTCCTTGTTTGAAATCCTTTTGAATCAACAAGTCAAGGAACATCCCACTTCTGAAGCCTTTTTGCATTATGTAGCCAAGCTACTGGCACAGGCTGACATTTTGTCACAAGATTTGGGACCCATGAGAATGGCCACGTATGATCCCAGCTATTACGGATGGAATCAGGGATCTGACCAACCGGCTCCAATGGAGCATTTTTACCTTTTGCCGATCTCAATTTTGTATGATAGAGCCAACCTTCCAGCAGGGATGCCACCGATACCAAGACGGGCGGCACCAGACAGAGGCCTCGATGAAATCATCCATCTGGCCTTCACACATGCCACAAAACCTGGTAATTTTGTTGCCATTCTCAAAAAAAGGTAAGCTGGCACCTAGCAAACTCCACTTTGCAGAAAGTGAAAGTTTCTTTGCTCAGGGATTCAAAGTAGGATACACCTCGTGGGAGGCGCGCGAATTAGGTCGTATCTTGCACAATGGGACGAATCTCAGCAAGAACGAATGCGGTGCCATATTTGTGGGCCTAGCCTGGGGCACAGGAAAAACCGTGCACAATGGCGGAGAGGGTGAGTGCATTGACCTCACCCGTGGCCCGAATTCGCAAGGATGCGTGCATCACAAACGTGGCCGCATGTGGGTGATAAACACCCACAGCCACTATTTGACAGGCATTGCTTGGCGATCTGATTCCCAAGCTCCCGTCAGGTTTTTCTGAATTTCATTCAGCTTGATTTTTCATTCGATATTGAATTAAACTTGACATTGGACTGAATGCCATAATGGCTCAGATCATCACTTCGATCTTGTCGACCGATTTCTTGAGCAGACTCAAAAGTCGTGCTCATTTAATTCAACACAGGTACCCGTAGTCACCAACCCCAACGTCTTTGCATGAATTAGCACCGCTGTATGTACAGACAAGAATTCATTCTTCAGACATTGACAGTGTATGGCCCTGCCATTTCTCCATTTTGAAAGCTAGTTATGCACTGATTTGAACTTCCGTCAGATTAGAAGTGCAGGACTCGGAAGTTATAGACCTCTTTGACACTGTCGTATTTGGCCGTGACCACAATGAACGATCGTGGAGCAGTACGTTTCGGAAATTTTGATTCAACCTTGTTTCGAACATCTTGTAGTCAGCTGCGTAGATACGTCGACAATAGGTTTCTCATTGTACAGCAGAGACCACCTTCAGACCTCCGTTTCTCAAGTCTTTACAGACTTGGATTTTAGTGGCAGTCCAGTTGAACTGGAACTTGTTTTCTTGCATTCTCATGGTGCACCGGGCTCAAAAGTCGTGCTCATTTAATTCAATACTCGTAGTCACAAACCCGAACTTTTTGCATGAATTAGCACCGCTGTATGTACAGACAGGATTTCCATCTTCAGACATTGACATGTCTCGCCATTGCGATTTCTCCATTGTGCAAACTTGTTCCGCACTGATTTGGATTTTGCGTCAGATTTCTCAAGAATTTCAATTCTTTACAGACTTGGAGTTTTATTTGTTGCAATTCTTGAACAAACACTGATGTCCACACTGCCAGGCATCAGATTTGGGACACTGTATCCGCCGGAACCTTCCGTCTTGGTTTGAGCGGGCTCAAAAAAGCCATGCTCATTTAATTCAATACTCGTAGTCACAAACCCGAACTTTTTGCATGAATTAGCACCGCTGTATGTACAGACAGGATTTCCATCTTCAGACATTGACAGTGTTTGGCCCTGCCATTTCCTCATTTTACAAGCTTGTTTCACATTCATGTGGCAAAGCTTGCAGAAACCTTTGACTTTTCCCTATTATACAAGCTTGTTTCACACTCATGTGGCAAAGCCTGCCGAAACGTTTGGCGTCAGATCCGAAGTGAAAGAATCGGAAGTCAGACATCTTTGACACTGTCAAATTTGGCAGTGGCCACGTTGAACAATCGTGTAGCAGTATCTTTCAAAACCAACATGTTTCCACCTTGTTTTGATCATCGTGTAGTGTAGTCAGATACATTGATACGTCGACAATAAGTTTCTCATTGCACAGAAAAGACCACCTTCAGACCTCCGTTTGTCAAGTCTTTACAGACTTGGACTTTAGTGGCAGTCCAGTTGAACTGGAACTTGTTTTCATTGCATTCTCACTGTGCATCGGGCTCAAAAGTCGTGCTCATTTAATTCAATACTCGTAGTCACAAACCCCAACTTCTTTGCATGAATTAGCACCGCTATATGTACAGACAGGATTTCCATCTTCAGACATTGACAGTGCCTGGCCCTTGCCATTTCTCCAGTTTGAAAGCTAGTTTCGCACTGATTTGAATTTCCGTCAGATTAGAATGATTAGAAGTGCAGGACTCGGAAGTTAGACCTCTTTGACACTGTCGTATTTGGCCGTGACCACAATGAACGATCGTGGAGCAGTACGTTTCGGAAATTTTGATTCAACCTTGTTTCGAACATCTTGTAGTCAGCTGCGTCGATACGTCGACAATAGGTTTCTCATTGTACAGCAGAAACCACCTTCAGACCTCCGTTTCTCAAGTCTTTACAGACTTGGGTTTTAGTGGCAGTCCAGTTGAACTGGAACTTGTTTTCGTTGCACTCTCATGGTGCATCGGGCTCAAAAGTCGTGCTCATTTAATTCAATACTCGTAGTCACAAACCCGAACTTTTTGCATGAATTAGCACCGCTGTATGTACAGACAGGATTTCCATCTTCAGGCATTGACATGTCTCGCCATTGCGATTTCTCCATTATGCAAGCTTGTTCTGCACTGATTTGGATTTTGCGTCAGATTAGAAGTGCAGTAGTCGGAAGTCAGACATCTTTGACACTGTCGAATTTGGCCATGACCACAACGAACGGTCGTGGAGCAGTACGTTTCAAATTTTGACTCAACCTTGTTTCGATCATCTTGTAGTCAGATACATTGATAATTCGACAATAAGTTTCT